ACAGCCGGGGATACATTTCATTCAGCCCAGGAGACTTATCTACTTTAAAGCCTGCTAGACCACTCAGAACGTCTTCTCTGTCTATGATAATTTCTTAAACTCCTAAATACTGGATTCAAGCACATGCCTCTGACAGATGGTAGGCTAACTGACTTCCTCCTGCTTCTGTGCTATGAAGCTACATTCTATGAATTTTCTTGGAGTACAATCACTCTTGTTATGATGTTAAACACAGCAGCTAAATTACAAAGAGCAAAGCCACACAACTAATCTTTGTCTTTTTAAATACCAGACAGGACACTTCCTCCAGAGATAGTAGGAACTGCAGATGCTGGAGAATCCGAGACAACAAGGTGCAGAGCTGGATGTACACAGCAGGCCAAGCAGCATCATAGGAGCAAAAAGGCTGACGTTTCGGCCCTTTCTGATGAAGGGTCTAGGCCTGAAACGTCAGCCTTTTTGCTCCTATGATGCTGCTTGGCCTGCTGTGTTCATCCAGCTCTGCACCTTGTTGTCCAGGACACTTCCTCCATTTACTTCCTCTTGTATGAGGGTGAGAGGGCCTTGATTGATTGTCCTATCTAACAGGCAGCATTCTCTGAGTACTGCTCTCTCACAATTGAATCAACAATGACACTAACAGCAAAAGCAAAACAGGAAAATCTGATTTTCTGAAGAAGGGTCCAGGCCCAAAAACGTCAGCTTTCCTGCTCCTCTGATGCTGCCTGGCCTGCTGTGTTCATCCAGCTCCATACCTTGTTATCTTTTAAAACTGATTGAAGGTTTTCAAAATGCTGAACTGAAAGGTATAATATAATATTTAAAACAATTGCTTGGCAGTAAAGGACTTAAATATTGCTGAAGACAAATACATGTTGCTGAAGACTTTCATAGAATAATAGAATTTTGCAGTAGACAGGGGAGGCCATCTGACCCATTGTGTCTGTACTGGCTCCTGAAAGAGCCATGCAGCTAGTCCCATTCTCTAGTTGTATCTCTGTAGCTTTCCAAATTAATCACTTTCAAATATATATCCGGCTCTCTGAGAGGATTCAGAAAGTATACTGCTGGGACTGGAGGGTTTGAGTTATAAGAAGAGGCTGGATAGGCTGGGGCCTTTCTCAGTGGAGCGCAGGAGGCTGAGGGATAACCTTATAGAGGTTCATAATTTCATGAGGTGCATAAATAAGGTGAATAGTAAAGGTCTTTACCCAAGAGTAGGGGAGGCCAAAACTAGAGGGCATATTTTTAAGTTGAAAGGGGAAAGATTTTAAAGTGGCCTGAGGGGCAACTTTTTCACACAGCGGGTGGTTCCTATGTGGAATGAACTGCCAGAGGAAATGGCAGATGCAGGTACAGTTGTAACATTTAAAAGATATTTGGATAGGCACATGAATAGGAATGGTTTAGAGGGATATGGGCCAAACAAGACAAGGTCGGTGTGAACGAGTTGGACTGAAGAGTCTGTTTCTATGCTGAATGACTATGACTGAATGGAATCCGCCTCCACCTCCCAGGAAGTGCATTCCAAATCCTAACAACTCTCCGAGTAAAGAAGTTTCTCCACATCTCACTCTTGGCTCTCCTACTGACCATCTTGAAATTGTAACCCCTAGCTACTAACATACCAAATGGTAGAAATAGAATATTTTTCTTTATCCTGTCAGAATGTTTAATTTTGATTACCTCAATAGGTCACCTCTTAATCTTCTCTGCTCCAAGGAGAATAAGCCCAATTTCTCTATTCTTTCCTTGTATCTTAAAATCCCTCATTCCTGGATAATTCTAGTAAATCTCCTTTGAACTCTCTCCAGGGCTTTAACATTCGTCTTTAAATAAGGTGCCCAGAACTGAACACAAAATTCCAAATGTGGTCTGACCAATGAATTGTGAAAGTGTAACATCACTTCCTTGCTTTTATACTCTATGCCTCTATTTATAAACCCAAAGATCCTACGAGCCTTCTTAACAGCTGTTTCAACTTGCCTGGCCACCTTCAGAGAATCATGCACATGTATCCCAAGGTCCATCAGGTTTGTACCACTGAGCCTGTATTGTCTCTCTGTGTTTCTTCTACCGAAATGCATTACTTCACATTTCTCTGCATTGAAATTCATCTGCCAGGTGTCTGCCCATTTGGCCAACTTGTCAATGTCCCTCTGAAATCCCTCAGCGTCATCCTCACAATTCACTATTCTGCCCAGGTTAATGTCATCTGGAAATGTACAGATTTTGCTCTTCACACCCATCTCCAAATCATTTATGTATATCAGAAAAACTAAGGGTCCCAACAGCAATCCCTGGGGAAAGCTACTTTCAACTTGTCCCCAATCTGAGAAACGCCCATTTATATCCACCCTCTGTTTCCTATCTTTTAGCCAACTTCTAATCCACGCTGCCAATGATCCATCAGTTCCAAACATTTCTAATTTGTTAACCAACCTGCCATGTGACAATGTACCAAATGCTTTCTGAAAGTCTGAATCTACAATATCCACAGTACTACCCTCATCCACTGTCTGTGTCACCTCATCAAAAAACTCAATTAAATTTGCCAGATATAACCTGTCTTGAACAAAGCCATGTTGACCGTCCAGTGTTAACTTATTTTTCTCTAAGTGTATATTTATCCCATATTGTGGCCCCCATCAGTTTCCCCACTATTGATGTCAAGCTGACAGGTCTGCAGTTTCCTGGGTTATCCTCTGTGCTTTTCTTAAACAATGGTCTCACATTTGCAATTCTCCAGTCGCCCTGTGACTAATTCCGGAAAGGCCTGGAAAATTTCTGTCAACAGCTCCCCAGTTTGCTCCCTTACCTCTCCCAGCAATCTAGAACACACCCCATCCAGGCCTGATGATTTCTCTACTCGGAATGCTGCCAGCCTTTTCAGCACCTCTTCTTTATCTGTTACTATACTACTCAATACATTTTCAATTAGGTTATTGTCACCACCTTCTAATTTGATGAAGACAGAAGCAAAATATTAATTTAGTACCTCTGCCATAACCCTTGCATCACTGAAGCAAAGAAAAGCTCAGCGCAAGCTGGAAAAACAGCATCTCATTTTCCGCTTGAGAACTTTTAATATCGAGTTCAATAAAATTAGGGTCTGATCACCTTCTCCCAATTCCTTACCCCAACCCCACACACCAGGCCTTGTCATCGCATGGGCTGCTATCACAACCATCTCATTGTCAACTTCTAGTGGTCCCCATTAGCAGCTACTGATTCTCCCAGGCTGACCTTTACCCATTCAATTGTCTGTCCAATTCTCTCTCTCTGTGCTCCACGTCCACCTATCGTTTACTCCTTCCCCTACGCTATCATCATCATATATACTAACCTTCTCTTAGTTCAAATCAGTTCTGAAGTAGGGTCACTGGGCCTGAAACATTAACTCTGCTTTCTCTCCACCTGCTGAATTTTTCCAGCAATTTCTGTTTTTTTGTTTCTGATTTCCAGCATCCACAGTTCTTTGTTTTTTTTAAGCTTATCCTGCTTGTTTTTTTATGGGCTCCACTTTATCCTTTTACTATTAAGTTTTACTTTTAGTGTAGCCTGCCATCCTTCTCTCACACTTCCTCTTAGCCTTCTGTATTCCAGCCTTAGCTTCTTTCCTGCATTTGAGATGCTCTTCCTGATTTATATTGCTACTTTTACTCCGGTATGCATCATATGCCGTCTTTTTCTTTCTTATTGTCTCATCAATATCCTTAGTCATCCAGGGCATTCTAGCTTTGGATATTCTGTATTTCTCATGGGTATGTACCTAGCTACTCATCTCTCTTGAAATTCTCCCGTTTTATGCACCAAATGTGTTCCCAATTATTGGGATCCAATTCAACTTTTAGATCCCTGAAATCTGCCCTTTTCCAGCTTGGAATCTTAATCATTTAGACTAATTTTTATCCCCTTCCAACTTAATATTAAAACTTATTATGTTATGATCATTATTTTCCAAATGCTTACCTACTCTGATGTTCTCCACCTGACCTGTCTCATTTCCTAGGACCAGATCCAACACAGCTCCCTCCCTGGTATGACTGGAACTGTATTGTTCCAGAAAGTTCTCGCACATAATGCAGGAATTTCTCTCCTCCGTACCCCACAGTCTCTTTTTCTTAGTCTACACTAGAGTAATTGGAATCACCATTTATCACAACCCTACCTCTCCACAATCTGCCTACAAATGCTGTCTTCTACTTCCTTCCCATTATTTGCACTCATCAGGACAAATGTATGAATATCAAATTTCAAATTTCACAACTTTTTATACGGCAGGAGAAAAGGGTGCTGCTGCTCACCAGCAAGTCAACTCTGATTGGCTGAGACATTGCCATGAAGAAAGCAACTGAAAAAGATAGCTTCATATTTCTAAGTACACCCACAAAAGGTACAAGGCCTAAACATATTCCTTTACTTATAGAGAATGGTTCCCTGTGCTCTTATATTACCTCCAGTAAGGATAAATGAATCACATTATCAGCTTGAATGATTACCTTAAATTAATTGTTAGAATAGCTGTTAGCACGTAGTTGTTCGGAAAGTGCTGCCCAATGGGAGAATCACATCGAACAATAAACATTTTGTCTTGGGTTTTGCCAGTTTAGACTGTTTGAACACAGTCTGCATTCTGCCTACTGTAAAACCCAAAGTACATGCTGTTTTATTAAATCCGCGATTTGCAGACACAAGGCTTCACTACCTGCTATCACACCACTACAGAAATTCATACAACATTGGTCAATTATTACTTCTGGATCTGAAAAGTGCTCAGTGAATTCAAATTACTCTGGAAAGGAAAATTCTCTCAAACATCATGTTAAAAAAGGTGATTCACACTGCTATTATGTCGTGTTGACACAAGTGGTATTTTTTTACAAATAAAATCGTCTGTCAGCCCAAAAGGATGCTCTGCCGATTAAGGGAACTCAGCAACATCGTGTATGAATGTCAGTGCCAGTATGATACCAGGTATGGAGGCCATACAGCCCTACCTATAATTGCAGCTGACTGCGTTGTCTTAATGAGTGGCAGGGCACTGTCATAAGCTTCTTTTGGAACAAAGACTGATCGGTCCTTGAGTTTGTTCTTCTTCAATATCCGGTGCAGCTCGTTCAGCAGTCCCACCCATTTATTTTTCTCATTTTCACTGTCGGCCAGTATGAGGATTGAACACTTGTTATTGGATGTTGATAGTTGGGAGGCTGTAACCTGCAATGAATGAGGTGATGTTAAAGTGAAAATCCAGGCAGCTTGAAAACACGAGTTAAACCATTTGCATATTCTTATTTTACCCTTACCTCTCAAACTTTTAACCACTCTATTAGATTATCTGAAAATTCAGATGAAACTAGCTAACTGTAGACTGGCCACATTATGTAAAAATATAACTCTGCTTGTTCAACCCTTCTTTATTCCACTGCATGGCTGATTTGTGCTAATTCAGCTAACAGTTGATCTTCTTTGCAATCTCAGAGACTAGCACCCATTTAAAAAATAATTCTAGTCCTTTTATTAGGGATGGACAGTAAATACTGGCATAGCCAGTGACACCCACATTCCAAGGACAATTTTTTTAAAAGAATGAATGAATGGTGCATAAACTATTTCAGATAAAACTGACCAAATACAAATCTATTAATCGGTATAAGCATGTTTACAATTTAACTAATATCCCATACCACACAACACTCACACCGCTTTACATCACCCATGCATATCAAGGGCAGCCACCCATACTGGGTAAATACTGCCAATCATATGCCAGAATCATCGGAGTTAATTACAACAGTGCTATTTATCAAACCTCTGGCTATTTGTGGCATATTTGTACATGAAAGCCTTTTAACTGATTGCACAACTTGAATGGCACACAACTTTTCTTCGCAGAGATTCCTACTTTAACGGTAAGCCTTTACTGCAGATATTTTGATCCTCAGCTTTTGCAGCATTTATACTTTTGCTATTTCTGTGCAAGAAAGGAGGAAATCATGAAGGAAATTCATGACTCCTCAAAGCCTGTCCATGATCTACAATGTACAAGTCAGGAGTGTGATGGAATACTCCCCACTTGCCTGGATGAGTGCAGCCCCAACAACACTCAAGAAGCTTGACATCATCCAGGACAAAGCAGCCCGCTTGACTGACACTACATCCATAAGCATTCACTCCCTCCACCACTGACGCTCAGTAGCAGCAGTGTGTACTATCTACAAGATGCACTGCAGAAATTCACCAAAGATCCTCAGACAGTACCTTCCAAACCCACGACCACTTCCATCTAGAAGGACAAGGGCAGCAGATACATGGGAACACCACCACCTTCAAGTTCCTTTCCAAGTCACTCACCGCCTGACTTGGAAATATATCGCCGTTCCTTCACTGTCGCTGGGTCAAAATCCTGGAATTCCCTCCCTAATAGCATTGTGCGTCAACCCACAGCAGGAGGAATGCAGCAGTTCAAGAAGGCAGCTCACTACCACCTCCTCAAGGGCAACTAGGGATGGGCAAGAAATTCAGGCCCAGCCAGCGACGCCCACATCCCACGAAATGAATGAAAAAAAAATTTTAAAAAAGAACTTCCAGGCTGGGAACTGCGATCTCATTCTGGGGTAACTTCTAATAATGATAGTAGAAAAATGAAGACATTGCATTTATACAGCATCCTTCATAACTTTCCCAAAAGTGTTTTACAGTCAATTAAGCACTATTTGAAATATAGTTGTTATTGCACTGCAGGAACTGCTCCAGCAAGTTTTGCATAGCAAGTGCTGAGAGAGAGAGATAATGACCAGTCAACAATTTCACAGAACCACTGAATGGTTACAGTACAGATATGATGGGCTGAAGGGCATTTTCTGTGCTTTTGACCTCTGTGGAAGTGGTCCATCATATCCACGCTAGCCCTCTGCAACAGTAAATCACCTAATGTCACTACCCCACTCTTCTCTGTAATCCTGCACATTTTTCCTTCAGAATGATCCAAATCAGTTTGAATCTGTCACTGGGACCTGCTTCCATCACACTCCTCAGGCACTGGACTCACTTGCTCCCTGGAAGAGGTTTTCCTCATGTTGTTATTGATTGCTTTCCCAATTACCTTAAATTTCTGCCCACTGCGGCTTGATCCTTTTGTCAATGGAAAGCACCTTCTAATCTACTCTGCCCAGACCCTTCACTATTCTAAATGCCTCAATAAAATCTCCTTTTAACCATCTCTTCTCCAAGAGCAAACCGAGTTTCTCCAATCTATTTACATAACTGAAGTCCCTTACTCTTGGAGTCAGCTTTGTGAATCCTCCATCTGTACCTTCTCTAAAATCTTCACATCTTCCTAAAGTTGCCTAAAGATATGGAACAGGATGCAGTTGAAACTGGAACAATATTTTATACAACGTTAACAAATCTTCCTTGCTTTTGTACTCAATGCTCCTATCTGATAAAGCCAAGTGTACTGTTTGCTTCATTAAGTGGACTCTCAAACTGTCATTTTCAATGATTTGTGTACATATGTACTCAGGTTCCTCTGCTCTTACACCCTCTTTATATTAATTTATTTCATACTGCCTCACTGCATTTTTCCTAGCGTTACTTCATACTTCTCTTCATTAAATTGAAATTTCCACTTGACCACCACTCCACCAACCCGAATAGGTCCTTCTGAAGTTCAACCCTATTCTCCACACAGTTCACAATAGTTTCGAGTTTCATCTCATCTGCAAATTTTGCCAAGTCACACTTATATCAGGAAGAGCAGGGGACCTAATGATTCCAGTGTCAGCTCAGGAATAAATACTGGCTCAGACATTGGGGAGAAAGCTTCTTTATGCCATGAAGTCTTTTACATCTGTCAGTTCTGACCTTTGAAGGAGTTCCACCACTTCAATCAT